CCTCCATGACCTTCTTCATTCGATCTCCATCACCTTCTCTGCTCCTCCTCCTCCTCCTCCCCCTACTCCATCACCTTCTCCCCTCCTCCTCCTCCTCCTTCTCCCCCCCCTCCATCTCTTTCTCTCCTCCTCCTCCTCCATGACCTTCTTCATTCGATCTCCATCACCTTCTCTGCTCCTCCTCCTCCTCCTCCCCCTACTCCATCACCTTCTCCCCTCCTCCTCCTCCTCCTCCTCCATGACCTTCTTCATTCGATCTCCATCACCTTCTCTGCTCCTCCTCCTCCTCCTCCCCCTACTCCATCACCTTCTCCCCTCCTCCTCCTCCTCCTCCTCCATGACCTTCATTCGATCTCCATCACCTTATCTGCTCCTCCTCCTCCTCCTGCCCCTACTCCTCCTCCATGACCTTCTTCATTCGATCTCCATCACTTTCTCCGCTCCTCCTCCTCCTCCTTCCCCTACTCCATCACCTTCTCCCCTCCTCCTCCTCCTCCTCCTCCATGACCTTCATTCGATCTCCATCACCTTATCTGCTCCTCCTCCTCCTCCTGCCCCTACTCCTCCTCCATGACCTTCTTCATTCGATCTCCATCACTTTCTCCGCTCCTCCTCCTCCTCCTTCCCCTACTCCATCACCTTCTCCCCTCCTCCTCCTCCCCCTACTCCATCACCTTCTCCCCTCCTCCTCCTCCTCCTCCTCCTGCCCCCTACTCCTCCATGACCGTCTTCATTCGATCTCCATCTTAGGGGCAGACCTGTACGTTTATATAAACACAGGGTACATATCTGGGTACAAGATACAGGTCTGGTACACGTGTGTATACATATACGTACCTCGGGTACATATCTGTAGTACCTGACACGACAACGACCCCTTCAGCAACACTAACAGTGTACCCTAACACGCATAATTATGGTAATATTAATGTCAGTCAATAGTTGATTATGCTTGGTTGATTATGCTTGCAGAATGTCTGAATGAAATGAATGTGCACTGTATTCTTATGTATCACAACGTGATCTATCAATCAAGAATGAGGAATTTTGTATCATTTTGTAACACATGTAAAAAATGATCACAATGTAACAAATAGATGTCACGTCAGATTATCATACCGTTTTTGCAACATTTCCACATTAAAACGCGGTCGTCTAAAGAGCTACATCAGTCGCTAGTATTGACAAACTCACTTTATAAATCGAGATGTTGGCGACAAGTTGCGAGCGAATGATTTCCGGTGAAGAATGCGTATATAATATCATTATCAGGACTGAACCTTTAGTTTAGTCGTCCTCTGTTTATAAGCTGTTCATTGACCACCACCGGTTGACGTTAGACGGGTGTCTCTTCCCTCCTGCACAGATAATGATTGAAAGTCGCATTCTATCTACGCAGTAAAGTGACAGCGTTACCAGTCTAGCAACGTTAACGCAAATTCAGCTGCAAAGGCGACACCTTTCGGAATATAGTGGTTGCCAATGGCAATGGATTCGATCAGAGCTCTGATTCAATTGACTGTTGTTTATCATTTATGTTTACTGTCAAAGAACGAAAATTCTTAATACGTAAGATTAGGAATATAGTTGTAGTCTTCCAAGGTAGAATGAGTAATGATACTAGGGCATATATTAGGCCAAGGGAGGAATTTATTAGCGGTCACAGCCGGGTTCATCAATGTGAATGTGTACAGTGTAGGCCTATCCATTATCTCATTCAGTCATTGACTTGCTCTAATGTCTCGATCGATCCCACTAGCACTGGCCCACTGGTAATGACACATTCCATGTAAATTTCATTGTTACACATGATGCATATCCTTTTTACCACTTCTGCCTTATCAAGCACAGCAAAAACATTGGGAAATAGAAGATAAATACGTTCGTTTATGGCAAGGTCATGGGAAAGTCATCGAAATGTACTGTGGTCTTTACTGCAGTCTGTAGGCCTATTCCAGTTGTGCATACGATACAAGGTTAATTGTAAAAGAGAATTATTTTATAATAGGTGGTGCAAACATAGTGCATGGTCCATACAATTACTAAGGCCACAAGCGTTTGTATCAACAGAGCATACAATAATAATTTTTGTTGGATGTAGAGAAGTTATGTCTGATGATGGTATACTATATTACTAATGCTGCCAGGGTCTATGTCTCCCTGGGTACTGCCAGAACATACCCTGGGTACGGTCCGGTATACCGGAACGTACCCTGGTAGTGGTACTATCTAATATGCCGGACCGTACCTCGCCTACTCCACTAACGAGTCTAGGGAGTCGCCTAAGCCTACTTCCTAACCCTAACCCTAACCATATCAGATAGTTACCAGGGTACGTTCCGGTATACCGGACCGTACCCAGGGTACGTTCCGGCAGTACCCAGGGAGACATAGACCCTATCAGCTATACTAATGCATTTAACCGATGAAAATTTTATGGCACAGGTGCATCTCCACTGCATGCACGCTACCATTGCACACTTGCAGTCAAACACCGTTTTTACATTAGCCGAGCTATCAGTTGATAGACGATCGCGATGAGTGATGAATCGGAGGACGGCGACAGTGTGTTCAGTAGCGGCGTTCAGTCGTCGTGCAAGCTGCACAAGGACACGTCGATCCTTCGCTCGTACCATCTCAGGACCTTCAGTACTATCATACGAGGTAGGCTGGACAGGCACGGGCCGTAGTTGTGTACAGGTTCGCTTGCTTGTCAGCTATTATATGTGGTTTCGTAGAATCGTTAGTAGGAAAGTGTTTAGTTTTTTTAACGCTGCTTTGATGTTACCCTTAATAGTATGGCTTGCTAGACATACTGCATGGCTGCAGTGCTAATGTATATAGTGTAGTGGATTAGATAGCATCTTATAATAATATATTTGTAACTACTTGAATTCTCAGTGGTAGTAAAATAGTGTAAACTATACTAGAAGTTCTGTCTCTGAGGGCAAGCAAAGCTTGTTTTATATTAATACTGTAACAAATATAAACAGTAAGGCCAAAACAAAATATATGTGTGGTTACCGTTACATGCCGAAAAAAATAGGGTAGGTAGGTAGGAAAACATTTTATTTCCTTGAAATATTTTATTTACGAACCATGTCCGAAGGATGTGCGTTGTGCCTTTTGAAGCAGGAACTGCAATTCATATTTTTTTAAATTTTAAATTTTTAAATTTTTAAATTTTTTTTTTACTTTAAAGAAAATTTACAATAAAATGTTTAGGGTAGCTGGGAATAAATAGGGTCGGTCGGGAAACCGTAACCACACCTATATTTTGTTTTGGCCTAATGTGGGAAAGCAACAGCTTGTTTTACAACAAATATAACCAGGAATGTGTGTGTAGATGGTGAGTGGCCATGAGTGGCACCGCCCACGACTAGAGGTCTGTATATGTCCGGCACTCGACCGCCCCCCACCTCATGACTGCTATAAAAGAAACTTAATGCTCTTCTTCTCTAGACAACCGTGTAGCTGCACACTCATATGTGCACGTACGCACACTATTTTTAGCACACGCTGTCCGCCAGAATTCCTGAACTGTGGGCCAAGCAAGAAAAGTGTACGTTCTCAGACCGGAGTGGAGTACATGTACGTAACACTGTCAGACTATGATACAGCAGCACAGCACTAGCATCTTGAACATTGTTGTCTCTTTTATGGCTTCAGTGTCACTGCACATCGCCTGCATCGTCTTCATGTTATTGTAGTTATTTGGGATTGAAGTTTTAGGAAAAAACATTTTATTGTTTGTTCAGCTGAAAGGATGTTATCATTACGCTGTGTGCGTACGTGCGTTTTGTCAGCGTCTGGGCGAGATGCAGCTAGCTTCCAGGAAGTCTGGCTGGTGTGAGTGCATGAAGGGTGGAGGGGATTCCAATGAATGCGGAACGGAGATTGTGCATATATAGTTGCTACTCCACGTTTTACTAAAAGAAATGTGGGTTTAATCGGACTTGTTCTGCCTGATAATTTCCCATTTTGGAGTTCTACTACTACTACATTTGATTTCAAGTAAAAGAGTGGTCGACTAGTAAACATAGTCGAGGTTTTCACATAGCCATGCAGCCAATGTTATTCTAGATTCCTATTCCTCATGACTGTTGAAAAATCCATAGTTCGTCTGGCAGTGCACTGAACCACTACACCGAAATTACGACAAAATCAACTCGTCCAAAATCATCATCGTGTGACTAACTTGATGAAGAGATTCTGGGAATCTTATCTGTATCGATTAACTTGGCACGGCATCTGCTCCCGATAGATGGCGCTGTTATGCAATCACACGGGTCGATGAATGGCGCAGCGACCTACTTCTCCCGCATTCGATCGACGAGTTCTATCGGGTTTACAACGTTATGTTCCGATCACTCGCCGCCTAGCAGTCATTCAGCCGACACTACGAGTGCTCAGCAAAAGGCAAAGCATAGTAACAACCTACGGCGTGGCGAGGGAGGAACTACTCTCGTGTACTTACCCCTTACGTCTTGCGCAACGTTACGGCCGCACACACACTCATCGTCTGAGCGCCGGTGGAAGTTCCGTGAATCCGGCTTCGCGTTCCGTTTATGCGCCGCCTTCGTAGCGCAGGATTTCTGCGTGTTGCGATAGAATTTCTGGTTCGTTGTTGACTCGTCTGCGGTTATCGATTGAGCCGGGACACGTGAGAAGTGCGTGGGGTTCTTCATCTGTTCCCGTGCATGTACCGCACACGTGCCACACGGCGTCACCATACGACGTTATCCCGTGAAATACATGCTGGAGCGTCGGTATTGTTTTCTCTCGTAACCTGGTAGACGTATAATTGTTGCGTGCGGGTCGCAAAAAGTCGCAGACATTATAAACAAAGGGTTCGAAAATGAAACCGGAACTGCAGAAGGATTGCATGTACGCGCAGCCGATTGTCGGAGAAGCGTGTTACGTGCCGTCGCAGGAGACAAGCAGGACGAACGTGGTCGGCGACAAGTTTCGGTTCACACGCGTCAGGAAGATTACCGAATGTGGAGGTTTTCTAGGTAACTATATCTGGTTTAATTAAATGAGAGAGATTGGAACATGTATCCGCGTTAAAGTCGATTTTTTCGGTTTAGCTACCAATACCATAACGCAGATACGCAGTTGCGTACACATTTCAGCAAACTTTTTTTATTTATTTTAGAGAGAGCGAGAGAGAGAAAGAGTCGCGATCTTTAGTGATCACATCTTGTTGCTCATGAAGAGAATAGTACTACTAAAAAGATAATTGTTGTAGTCGGAATGAAGGCTGTACATTTACTCAAAAGTGCCTCAAATACCTTCTCCCGCGGTCTACGTTCTCAAAAATTTCTGGGTCAGGACCCCCCACTCCCAGACCCCTCGCCTGTGTTTGTACGTGCATCCATTTCACCCTAGCTACGCCCCTGCAAACAATGTAAACATAATTACGCTTTTAGTTTTTAAAAGTACGTACGCCGCTTCAACGCTTGGTTACAAAAAGTTGAGAGAGCACATTGGTGTATCCTATCAAGATCAATATCAAACGGTCTATGTGCTCTCGACAGTAACCAATTCTGGCGTGGCGTCGGCGGGAGTCGAGGGAGGGCTGCCTGTTTAGTCGCAGTTTAGGCTTGTTTTGAAGGCCTTAACTGATTTATCACCGACGATATTGTCCTCCCGCTGGTTCCTATCCACGATTGTCTACAGGAAAAAGGAGTGTTTGACCGTTTACGTGCTTTTGAAAGAATTTAATGCTATATAGCATCTGCAGGAATGTTGAATCATTACATATATTACAACAGCTGGCAGCGAGCATCTTCTTGGCAAGTCTGTCTACACATATAATATAAAGACAATAATATTTAGTATTCAGTATTTAGTATGATAATTTAGCTTTCATCCTTAGTGTCAGACTAGCTGATTCTTCTCTGTCGTAACAGCCGTTCCTGCCTCGGGCGACATCTGGCTTGTCGGATAATAAAGACAATAGCCTCGCAACTATTGATCAAATAAGCTCCGAGCCTAAGGCAATTAATTCTCCCTGTACTGGCGTGCATAGAAATCTGTCTTGCACCTCCAGCGTAATGACATGCCACTTTTCACAAAATTTGCAATGTCCATTGGCAAAACACGCTGCCAGACGGTGTTTCATAGCTGGGTCGATCGTTTTCCGCATCGGGGAAAGTCTGCACGCGTGTTGCAGTGCAGACAGGAGTTCATTAGTCTGACTACAGCCTGTGGTGAAGACAAGAATGACGTTAGGGTCAATAATCTGCCAGTCTGGTCGTGGCTTTACCCTGTTACTGTTAGCGTGTTATTATATAATGAAATTGAGTAGAAAAAAAACTGATTGTATTAATCTTTTTGGTAATAAGTTAATAACTGCATGCGTTCATGGGGATTCAGTAGGTATAATAGATAGGTTGACTAGGCTGCGAGACTAACGTACATGTACACATGATTGTATCTGTTGGAGCTAGTTACTGGGCTTCTACAATAACAGTAAGATATATGTGTGTCCTTTGTTTAACTCATGAATGTCTGTGCTGCTTTGAAGTGCAGTGGGTGTGTAGGTCTATAGGACAATATATGTATGCATGTGTAGTTTGTCTCTCAGTTCTCACATTCTAGTGCGTGGTAGTATATATATAATTATATAATCTTCCGTGTCTAATGACTAATACTGATCAGGCTATGTCATGGGTAGCTGCCGGACATAAACCTTATCTTGATTGTGTGATTGCATAAATTGTGTAGGTGGCCGTGGGTGTAAGGTTCGGCACTTACTATTCGTAAATTCCAAGTAATGAGCGATGATATCATGTAGGATAGCTGACGGATGCAAATATTATCCTGACCGCTGTATGTGGGCGTGATTTGCGGAGGTGGCTGTATTAGTAGTGAGATGCGGAACAGAACTTTGGCATGAGAGAGGTTCACGTATGGATCCGTAACCTCACCACTATAGTTTTCCCCCTTATGCTTCTTGTTTTTTTTATGAGCTCCCCTTAACTAACTCTAAATTTCGAGTTGCCATGCATTAATGGTTCCCACATGAAGTCTTGCGGATGGTCGTGGAGGTGCTATTTATATTTATAAAGTGTCCATGAACCCTGGCCCCATCATGCTCAATTCAAAAAAATAACGGACAAGCCTGAGTAAAGAAGAGAAAACTCCAGCGGGATGGGTATTGGAGCTCTTGATCTATAAGTATAATATGCCTAATGATCATATATTAGCTCATCTATGATTAGGCAAAAATGTGAAGGTAGAATTGCATAAAAGTTTGCAGATAATTGTAACTTTCCCGAACATTTTAGATGCAAGTTGCTGGGATATATAAACTGGAGATCCGGTTATGTCTGAAGGCGCTTTGTTTTTAGACTTTGTTTCGATTTTTGCTCTTGGACTCTGGAGCGTGAAGTTATGCTGGTTTTGTACAGTATGCTGGGGGTCTTGCAACAGCCTATTTCGATCTCTCACTTTTCGGTCTGTGCCCTGAATTGCAATGCTGAAATGTGATGCGTGACAAAAAAATCTCTGCAAATTAGCTATCGTGGATAAAAAAAAGTTTGAGTTTGAGTTTGAGTTTGGTAATCTCATATTATTATGAGCATATTTCTGCAGTCATACTGATCGCACAGTACACATGTTCCATGTTCACAGGTTATTAGAAAGTATTAATTAAAAAGGTTGAAAGCGTTCATAGGTGTAGCGTTATAGGATTATGATTACGGTTATGATTACGATTTAAAATGAGTTATTAAAAGCTTGTTTATTTTCAACTGAGAGCTACCCTTTCAACGGAGCTGTCCTTTGACATTTTGAGGTGCTGCATGCAAATGTCACAGAAATTCAATAAAATTGCAACCTTGAGCAGGGACAAATATTCCGTCTAGACAGCTAGCTGAGTGTGCAGTGCCTGCATGCACGCGTTGCCGTGGTCAGTATAATATCAAGAGTAGATAATAACAATCTACAATACAAGATTGTTATTATCTACTCTTGATAATTAATATGTATACACAGTCGTTACCACACGCCATCAAAATATGGCTAGATAATGACACTTCCTAATCGAAACTTGTAATTGTACACTGGTGATTGAATATCTTTATTGCGTGAAGTAAGAGTCTGAAGTAAGAGCCGTGTAATTTGTAAACGTCAGCAATAGTGATATCCTGTTGGAGCGTATTTTTTGGCTTTGTGCCAAATGTTCAATAAGTGCTAAGAGTTGTCACTCCTGTCAGCACATCACCTGATCTCTGTGCAGGTTTTTTTAAGGTCAGGCCACAGTTGGTCTTGAGGCAGTTTACCAAAACCTGATGGGTTTATTTCTGTGTGCCGTGGAGAGCCTTTCCACGACACACAGAAATAAACCCATCCGGTTTTGGTTTCGCTTTCCGAAAGGTGGCAATGTGGAGCTGCCGGCTCTTTTTAGTCCATTCTAAAACACTTGGCTGCTGCAATTGATTAATGATAGCTTGTCGTGCTCGTTTCTTACCTGTATAGTTATTTTTAGCTCCATTCTATGTCGACTACAAGGTCAGTGATCGTCCAGGCCAAGAACACAGTAAAATATGCTGGTAACATCCCTGATATTATGCGTATGTTGGCCGTTACAATATCTAAACGCCCTAGCTGTGTCGGTGCCTCCTTATTGTGGCAGGCTGTCTTTCATTATTACACTTGAACAGTACAGGATATATAATGAGATTAGATGCGCTGAATGTGGCAGTGCCGTACAGTGTTTGGTTTATTAGGTCGATAAGTACAGTAAAGCTACCGGATTTAAAAAATTGATGCAATTCTGTATAACCTTGAAACGATCTTGAGCTGTGAATAATGGCAGGACAATGAAGACATCGTCTTATATACGTGTGAATGAAGCTATACTGTCTTCAGCTGTTTAGGGAGGTATATATATATATATATATATGTTTATATACACTATAATATAAGTGCGTGCATGTACATATGAATGTACATACGTTCTAGCTGTTTCTGCATTTTCACGCTCCTACATAAAACTATTGATTGATTAAAACAACTGCGCACGTCCGCTGTTCACGACGAAATGCCACAGTCCCACAACCTGCGTTTTTGCGGCCTGCGTCGGCGTGGTAAACCCACGCAATTTCAACGTCGTCTTTGCAATAAACCCACTCAATTTCAATATCGTCGTCATTGCAAACCCCGCGATTTTAACGTCGTCATCGTTGCGTTGCAGGCAACTCTCCGCAGCTTGTGCGCACTCCGCACGTCATCGTCATGGTCGGCCTGCCCGCCCGCGGCAAGACCTACATCTCCAAGAAGCTGATGCGATACCTCAACTGGATCGGCGTCAACACGCGGGTGTTCAACGTCGGTGACTACCGCCGCAAGGCGTGCGTCAGCGCGTGTTACCAGAGCAACGACTTCTTCAGCGTTGACAACGAGGAGGCGCAGACGCTCCGCAACCAGGCGGCGGTGGAGGCGCTCGAGGACATGTGCCATTGGCTGGAGGACGACGGCGAGGTCGGGGTGAGTAGGCGGGGCGGGGCGAGGGCGGGGTGGGGGTGAGTAGGCGGGGCGGGGCGAGTAGGCGGGGCGGGGCGAGGTTGGGTGAGTAGGCGGGGTGGGGCGAGGTCGGGGTGAGTAGGCGTGGCGGGCAAGGGGGAGCAGCTCTGGGATATTGGACGGTGAAGTAAGAAACGTGGGACTGGGTGGGGTTGAGCTACCTGGAGGATGGGATGGGAACATGTGGAGGGTGGAATGGTGAAGCAAGGTGGGGTGAGAGAACACAGAACATATATCCGAGATGCAGGTGGCATGTAAGGGTGTGCGTGCGTGTATCAATCTTGAAGTTTGATCTCTTGATGCCCACGACCTTGGTTGGCTAGCTCTCAATACGCTTGCTTGTACTCCTTTCTTCATGACAACTTTTGCTAGCTACACTCGAAGCCGGATTATTGCGCCTTGCGATCGACTACATATATTGCACGAGTATTGAGAGTTTTGAGTTGACGTCATCGCTCGTGGTTCATCACGACCGGCGTTGTTCCTCCCCTACAGATTTACGACGCCACGAACACCACCAGAGAGCGCCGGAAAATGCTTCACAACATCATAACGGTAAAGTACGGCTACAAGGTGCTGTTCGTGGAAAGCGTCTGCAACGATCCGGCCGTCGTCGAGAGCAACATCATGGTGAGTCCCTAGCAACGCCACCGTACTCGGTTGGTTACGCATCACAAAAAAGCCGCCTTCATTGTTCCGCTTGCTGCTCACTTCTTACACTCGTCTTGTCGCTTCGCCACGCAAACCTGCGTTTTTTTGCTAGTTTCGTCCCACCTCCCCCTTCTAAGTGTGAAGTCATGTTTAAGGCAAACTGGCTAGAATTTCCCCCTCACACAGACACCGCACCGAGCATTTCTTCAATGCCGACGGTTCGAAATCGTGGCAAAACCCATTGCGACCCCCATTAATCTCGCAGTCGCGGACGGCTCCCGCTCTTTCATCTCACGCGAGCGCGATCCGTGTTTTCTCTTGCACAGGAGGTGAAGGTCAACAGTCCGGACTACAAGGGTGCCGACCCTGAGTTTGTCGTGAAGGACTTCTGTGAGCGGATCGAGCATTACAAGCGCGCGTACGAGCCGATCGATGAGAAGCTCGACAGCACATACTCCTTCATCAAGCTGTTTGACGTCGGGGAGAAATTCCTCGTTAACAAGGTTACAGGTGCGTGCGCCGCGAGAGAGACGCCACCGCCACGAGCGCGCGCTCTCATGTTATGTTCACTTACGTCTTCATTGTCGTTTGTTGTCATCATCGACGTCACGTAGTCGTCGGTGTTGTCTTTGTCGATTGTTGTTGTCATTGGTGTCATTGTTGTTGTCTTTGGTGTCATTGTTGTTGTCATCGGTGTCATTGGCGTTGGCATAGTTGTTGCTGTTTATCGAAAGGTCATAAGGAAATTTTGTTGATAGGGATTTGATTTTGCTTGATATTAAAATATATGTATTTAACTTGATTATGTGCTCATGTTTTACAGATCACATTATGGCTAAGATAGTGTATTATCTAATGAACATTCATATCACACCGAGGACAATCTACCTGACCCGAGTGAGTACAACGTCATATGTATTGTGAGCTACGCACTTTGCTTAGAGTCGACAGCAAACTTGAATTTGATTAGAAAATAGATTAGATTTCAAAATTTCTTACATGTGGAACTGAGGTAGAAATGATGCAAACTGGCTAAGCGAGTGAGCTTGATTGCCGGTCCGCTGTTGACTTTTGACAGCACGGGGAGAGCGATTTCAACATGGATGGCAAGATCGGCGGAGATTCTGACCTCACAGAGCGAGGCCAACAGGTTAGTGGCAGTTCACAGTCTCGCGTGGCGATGCCAATCAGCTCACGAACGAACGAAATAGCGTGCGCGGATATTGTCGCTAGAAGACCTACGACGGCATGTTAGATTAAATTGCGATGCGCAACGAAAGAATCCCTACATTGCGCTAGATCCGACTGCACGTTGAGAGCGGATCGGTAAATAGCCATCGATCGCGGGAAGCGTCTGCATCTATGTATGTCATACGCGCGTATCTACATGCGCGCGTATCTACATGCGTGCTTACGTACTTGGTATCATCACCATCATTGTCGTTCTTGGTTGTGCGTACCGTTATCCACGTACTTGCCTGCTACGTACGTCATATGCATCATATGCACTATGTGCTACCATCTAGATACTTATAGTACGTGTCAGTATGTGCTACCATCTAGATACTTATAGTACGTGTTAGTATGTGCTACTATCTGCGTGCTTGCTTACACACAGGTACTTATAGTACGTGTTAGTATGTGCTAATCTGCGTGCTTGCTTACACACAGGTACTTATAGTACGTGTTAGTATGTGCTACTATCTGCGTGCTTGCTTACACACAGGTACTTATAGTACGTGTTAGTATGTGCTACTATCTGCGTGCTGTTAGGCACCCAGGATATCTTATAAGTATACCTGATATTAGTATGGTGCACCTATCTGTCGTGCTTAGCTTAATCACACGCAGGTAGCTATAGTGGTGTTAGTGATGCTGCTAATCTGCGTGCTTGACTTACACCAGGTTATCTATAGTAACGTGTTAGATGGTGGTATATGTGTGTGGCTGTGCTATACCGCACAGGTAGTTATAGGTCGTGGTTAGTCATGTGACAGCTATCTACGTTGCTTGCGTACATCACAGGTAACATTATAGTACCGTGTTGTAATGGTGCTACGTATCGTGCGGTGCTTGGCTTAACCAGATACATTATGTAGTGTTAAGTATGTGCTACATATCTGCGTGGCTTGCATTCACACACAGAGTACTTATAGTACGTGTGTTATGATGGCTACATCTGCGTGTTGCGTATCACACAGGTCCTTATAGTTACGTGGTCAGATATGTGTCTAGCTATCTCCGTGCTTGCTGTAGACACAGGTACATATAAGATCCGTGTTAGTATGTGCTACTATCTGCGTGCTTGCTTACACACCCTCGTTGTTGTCTGCAGTACGCTCAGGCGCTGGCCAAGTACGTTGAGGAGCAGAACGTGCCGCACATGCGCGTGTGGACGAGTCACATGAAGCGCACGATCCAGACTGGCGCCTCCATCGAAGGCACGCAGGAGCGCTGGAAGGCTCTCAACGAGATCGACGCGGTAAGAGGGCTATGAGAGTGTCACCACTGTCACCAGTGTGTCCATGAGAGAGACTTACTCAGATGCCATGTTTATAGACGGGTCGAGGGACAGAGGGTCAGTAGCAAGGCGTAGGGTGACGATACGGTTCTCGGTCGTGCTTGGTAAGCATCACCACGTAAACCACGATGTGCTAAAGTGATCCCCCCCCCCGTGCATGCTCGCATACTTACACGCCACCTGGTGGTGTGTGATCGCATACTTACACGCCACCTGGTGGGGGAGGCTTGCATCACCCGGCATCTGCATCGTTGCAGGGCGTCTGTGAGGAGATGACATATCAGGACATCGAGAAGAAGTTTCCGCAGGAGTTTGCGCTCAGGGATCAGAACAAGTTCCGCTACCGCTACCCCGGCGGCGAATCTTACGAAGACCTCGTCGCTAGACTCGAGCCGGTGATAATGGTGAGTACAATAGAGGGCAGCACGCATCAGTGTAGGGGGCAGCACGTGCCAGCTGCTATGGCAGAGCGTGATGAGACTGACGTCTCTGTGAGGGAGAGGGGGGAGTGTCATGAAGTAGACGATTTCAGTCCGTGTTTTAGCTTCGTGTTTTCGTTGTATCGTGAAATTAGATAATACTTCGTATTAATTTATTAATTATGAACTGGAGAGACAATTCGAGGGAGAGCATAGTGTTATGAAATAGACTGATTTCGGTTTTAGCCTCGTGTTTTCGTTGTTCTTGAATAATTTGTATTAATTTATTAAATAGGAACTGGAGAGGCAAGGTAACATCATGGTCATTAGCCACCAGGCCGTAATCCGATGCTTGCTCGCTTATTTCCTCGACAAAGACTACGGTAAGGTCGATGAGTTCTGGAATCTTTATGCTATTCGTGTTCTGAACTTCACGTGAACCTTATGGTTTCGTTAACTTTAACAAACATCTGTGAACTACACAGTTGTAGAGTTGTAGCATTGATCATAGGAGAGAATACGTAGATCACAGCTTTATGAATAATCGTCTAAGAATATGGTGTCAGAAAATATTCGGAGGCATTATTGCTAGTATTTTACGACTCCTGCACTCTAGTTTAATTTAATATTGGCAGAGTGTCAGTTTAATGTTCACAACTGGGTGGTGGTGGGTTCTTAACTTGACATACTTCTATGTTTTTCAATGCATCTCACCACAGAAAGCATTGGGGGCGAAACTGCTCATAAAAATAGCTCGTGCCTATCTATGTAGCAGTATGGGCAGCTCCGATCCGGTTCTGTGCTATTTTTGTCCCTTCTTTTGTATTTATTCTTCACTCTTGTGTAAACCGTAATGAAAACAAATACCACATAGGAAGGAGCAAACTAAAACAAATCCGTACATGCCCCATTATTAGGCCAAGGTTATATATTAAGAGTTTGTGATTTTTACCAGGATGTGGTAGGCTTCGTTGGGAGTGGGAGGGTAGCAGGGTCAGTAGGGGAGGCTACAGCAGGCAGAGTATATATTAGTGTTGGTAAGCGTGCTTGCTTACACACAAGATAGTAGCACATACTAACACGTACTATAAGTA